AATTTTTTCAAAATTTTATAAGGGGTTACATCATTAAAATTGTAAAAAATTGATAAAAATTTGAATATTTTAAAATTTTAAATTGAGTATACAGATTTGTAAACATGTAAAAAATAGCTCAGAGAAGGTTTCCGAATTAAAATTAATGAATTTTTAACATAGTTATGCGATTTTTAAACTTTCATTGTCCCAAAGTATATGGTATAAAAAAATCGATTTAAAAAACAATTTTCAAATATAAATTATTTACCTCCAAAAACCTAACACAGGAACAAATAAAGTGTAGTATGCAGATTTGTTAACCTCCAATCAACGAACCCAAGAACGCTTTCCGAATTGAAATTAATGAATTTTTAACACATTTATGCGATTTTTAAACTTTGATTGTCCCAAATAATACTTACAAAATTATTAAATAAAAATGTCGATTTCAAGAATCTTGCAGAGAAAAATATAATTTTAATCGGCAAAGGAGCCATTTCCGATCCTATAAAGTATATATATTCTTGATCAGCATTAACAGGAGAGTCGATCTGGCCGTGTTTGGATGAAAACAAATTTTTTGCAATTTTTTCAAAATTTTATAAGGGTTACATCATTAAAATTGTAAAAAATTGATAAAAATTTGAATATTTTAAAATTTTAAATTGAGTATGCAGATTTGTAAACATGTAAAAAACTAGCTCAGAGAAGGTTTCCGAATTAAAATTAATGCATTTTTAACATAGTTATGCGATTTTTAAACTTTCATTGTCCCAAAGTATATGGTATAAAAAAATCGATTTAAAAAACATTTTCAAATATACATTATTTACCTCCAAAAACCTAACACAGGAACAAATGAAGTGTAGTATGCAGATTTGTAAACCTCCAATCAACGAACCCAAGAACGCTTTCCGAATTGAAATTAATGAATTTTTAACACATTTATGCGATTTTTAAACTTTGATTGTCCCAAATAATACTTACAAAATTATTAAATAAAAATGTCGATTTCAAGAATCTTGCAGAGAAAAATATAATTTTAATCGGCGAAGGAGCCATTTCCGATCCTATAAAGTATATATATTCTTGATCAGCATTAACAGGAGAGTCGATCTGGCCGTGTTTGGATGAAAACAAATTTTTTGCAAATTTTTCAAAATTTTATAAGGGTTACATCATTAAAATTGTAAAAAATTGATAAAAATTTGAATCTTTTAAAATTTTAAATTGAGTATACAGATTTGTAAACATGTAAAAAACTAGCTCAGAGAAGGTTTCCGAATTAAAATTAATGAATTTTTAACATAGTTATGCGATTTTTAAACTTTCATTGTCCCAAAGTATATGGTATAAAAAATCGATTTAAAAAACAATTTTCAAATATACATTATTTACCTCCAAAAACCTAACACAGGAACAAATAAAGTGTAGTATGCAGATTTGTTAACCTCCAATCAACGAACCCAAGAACGCTTTCCGAATTGAAATTAATGAATTTTTAACACATTTATGCGATTTTTAAACTTTGATTGTCCCAAATAATACTTACAAAATTATTAAATAAAAATGTCGATTTCAAGAATCTTGCAGAGAAAAATATAATTTTAATCGGCGAAGGAGCCATTTCCGATCCTATAAAGTATATATATTCTTGATCAGCATTAACAGGAGAGTCGATCTGGCCGTGTTTGGATGAAAACAAATTTTTTGCAATTTTTTCAAAATTTTATAAGGGGTTACATCATTAAAATTGTAAAAAATTGATAAAAATTTGAATATTTTAAAATTTTAAATTGAGTATACAGATTTGTAAACATGTAAAAAAATAGCTCAGAGAAGGTTTCCGAATTAAAATTAATGCATTTTTAACATAGTTATGCGATTTTTAAACTTTCATTGTCCCAAAGTATATGGTATAAAAAATCGATTTAAAAACAATTTTCAAATATAAATTATTTACCTCCAAAAACCTAACACAGGAACAAATAAAGTGTAGTATGCAGATTTGTTAACCTCCAATCAACGAACCCAAGAACGCTTTCCGAATTGAAATTAATGAATTTTTAACACATTTATGCGATTTTTAAACTTTGATTGTCCCAAATAATACTTACAAAATTATTAAATAAAAATGTCGATTTCAAGAATCTTGCAGAGAAAAATATAATTTTAATCGGCGAAGGAGCCATTTCCGATCCTATAAAGTATATATATTCTTGATCAGCATTAACAGGAGAGTCGATCTGGCCGTGTTTGGATGAAAACAAATTTTTTGCAATTTTTTCAAAATTTTATAAGGGGTTACATCATTAAAATTGTAAAAAATTGATAAAAATTTGAATATTTTAAAATTTTAAATTTAGTATACAGATTTGTAAACATGTAAAAAACTAGCTCAGAGAAGGTTTCCGAATTAAAATTAATGCATTTTTAACATAGTTATGCGATTTTTAAACTTTCATTGTCCCAAAGTATATGGTATAAAAAATCGATTTAAAAAACAATTTTCAAATATAAATTATTTACCTCCAAAAACCTAACACAGGAACAAATAAAGTGTAGTATGCAGATTTGTTAACCTCCAATCAACGAACCCAAGAATGCTTTCCGAATTGAAATTAATGAATTTTTAACACATTTATGCGATTTTTAAACTTTGATTGTCCCAAATAATACTTACAAAATTATTAAATAAAAATGTCGATTTCAAGAATCTTGCAGAGAAAAATATAATTTTAATCGGCGAAGGAGCCATTTCCGATCCTATAAAGTATATATATTCTTGATCAGCATTAACAGGAGAGTCGATCTGGCCGTGTTTGGATGAAAACAAATTTTTTGCAATTTTTTCAAAATTTTATAAGGGGTTACATCATTAAAATTGTAAAAAATTGATAAAAATTTGAATATTTTAAAATTTTAAATTTAGTATACAGATTTGTAAACATGTAAAAAACTAGCTCAGAGAAGGTTTCCGAATTAAAATTAATGCATTTTTAACATAGTTATGCGATTTTTAAACTTTCATTGTCCCAAAGTATATGGTATAAAAAAATCGATTTAAAAAACAATTTTCAAATATAAATTATTTACCTCCAAAAACCTAACACAGGAACAAATAAAGTGTAGTATGCAGATTTGTTAACCTCCAATCAACGAACCCAAGAACGCTTTCCGAATTGAAATTAATGAATTTTTAACACATTTATGCGATTTTTAAACTTTGATTGTCCCAAATAATACTTACAAAATTATTAAATAAAAATGTCGATTTCAAGAATCTTGCAGAGAAAAATATAATTTTAATCGGCGAAGGAGCCATTTCCGATCCTATAAAGTATATATATTCTTGATCAGCATTAACAGGAGAGTCGATCTGGCCGTGTTTGGATGAAAACAAATTTTTTGCAATTTTTTCAAAATTTTATAAGGGGTTACATCATTAAAATTGTAAAAAATTGATAAAAATTTGAATATTTTAAAATTTTAAATTTAGTATACAGATTTGTAAACATGTAAAAAACTAGCTCAGAGAAGGTTTCCGAATTAAAATTAATGCATTTTTAACATAGTTATGCGATTTTTAAACTTTCATTGTCCCAAAGTATATGGTATAAAAAAATCGATTTAAAAAACATTTTTCAAATATACATTATTTACCTCCAAAAACCTAACACAGGAACAAATGAAGTGTAGTATGCAGATTTGTAAACCTCCAATCAACGAACCCAAGAACGCTTTCCGAATTGAAATTAATGAATTTTTAACACATTTATGCGATTTTTAAACTTTGATTGTCCCAAATAATACTTACAAAATTATTAAATAAAAATGTCGATTTCAAGAATCTTGCAGAGAAAAATATAATTTTAATCGGCGAAGGAGCCATTTCCGATCCTATAAAGCATATATATTCTTGATCAGCATTAACAGGAGAGTCGATCTGGCCGTGTTTGGATAAAAACAAATTTTTTGCAATTTTTTCAAAATTTTATAAGGGGTTACATCATTAAAATTGTAAAAAATTGATAAAAATTTGAATATTTTAAAATTTTAAATTGAGTATGCAGATTTGTAAACATGTAAAAAACTAGCTCAGAGAAGGTTTCCGAATTAAAATTAATGCATTTTTAACATAGTTATGCGATTTTTAAACTTTCATTGTCCCAAAGTATATGGTATAAAAAATCGATTTAAAAAACAATTTTCAAATATGAATTATTTACCTCCAAAAACCTAACACAGGAACAAATAAAGTGTAGTATGCAGATTTGTTAACCTCCAATCAACGAACCCAAGAACGCTTTCCGAATTGAAATTAATGAATTTTTAACACATTTATGCGATTTTTAAACTTTGATTGTCCCAAATAATACTTACAAAATTATTAAATAAAAATGTCGATTTCAAGAATCTTGCAGAGAAAAATATAATTTTAATCGGCGAAGGAGCCATTTCCGATCCTATAAAGTATATATATTCTTGATCAGCATTAACAGGAGAGTCGATCTGGCCGTGTTTGGATGAAAACAAATTTTTTGCAATTTTTTCAAATTTTTATTAGGGTCAGAGAGATTTCCGAATTAAAATTAATGCATTTTTGACCAAGCTATGGGAATAGAAACTTTGGTTTTCGAAGTTAACTTATTTTGCATAAAAAAATATATATTTAAATATATAATATACAATGTGTTTAGATTCTGTGCGTGTGCCGGAAGAGTATATTTACGGACTCGCATGTTAGGGCTTTGTACAATTATTAGCAAAGACAACATAGACAAGACAAAAAGTCACAACGCTGACAGACACAGATTAAGTTAGGGCCTTAAGATAACAGATCCGGGGATATCGATAAAAAATAACGCACACACACCTTTGCGATAAGACCTGACCAGACACTAGAATGATAAGAGTAGTAAGCCCCCCGTCTCCTGCCCAAAACACAAATCCAAAATCCATACAAAGTGACGACAATCAAAAACAAAAATACATACATAAATCAGGACATGCACAAAATTAAAAATCCAACACTATATAAATAATATGCATACAAATATATATGTTATACATCATTTGGACAATCCGCGCTTATCAGTTTACTAGTGGCTGTCGCCGCAGGAGCAACTGCTTGTTTTCTATTTCGTTACCGCTTCAAATTCAAAGTTCTTAATTCGAAATTCTTGCGTTTTATTTTTTGCCACACAACAGCCACACACAGCCACACACAGCCCACACACCGCTTAAATGTCGCAGCACTCGAAGAAGGAGAGCAGCAGCAGCAGCAGAAGCAGCAGTAGCCATGCGAGCCAGAGCCATAAACATGCGAACAACAGCAATACCACTCCAAACTCCCACTCCGTAGCAGCCACCAGCGGCAACAAGAGCTACAAGCGACACACGGCGGCGGCCAATGGCAGTGTGAAGGCCAATAGCAACTCCCAACATACCAGCAGTTACACGACCGCCAAGTCCCTCAGTGGTAACAGCAACGCCAGTAGTAGGATTAGCATAATGCAGGGCGCCGGCGCCGCATCTGCGCAAGCGATTAACAAGAAGGAGAAGAACCAAAAGACAAGCAGCGTGAAAGGGAACGCGTTGAACGCAGCCAGCTGGTACTCTGGCGGCGTCCGCTGCAGACCACCAAGTACTGTGGTCTCGAGCTGGCCACGCTCCTGCGCACATGGAGCGCCAGGTAAGTGATGCCTTAACCATCTTAATCCGGAGGAATCCAAACTGAAAGCAAACTGATATTCTTTTGCAGATTGCTGCAGCAGCGGCTTCTACTGGCCGTCCTGATAGTATTAGGAATTGTATTTAGCATAATTTACAAAATAGACGGTCCTCATCAGGTGTTCATTGAGCTTGTGCAACGGAACACCTGGTTCTTTGTCTACTGGATCGGACTGGGCGTACTTTCGTCCGTGGGTCTGGGTACCGGCCTGCACACGTTCCTGCTCTATTTGGGGCCGCATATAGCCAGCGTTACCCTGGCCGCCTACGAGTGCAATTCGTTACGTTTTCCCCAGCCACCGTATCCAGATGAGTGAGTATTCCATATGGCCTAATGGTTTCGCCCTCGTGTGACTAACTCATTCTCTTTTACACGCAGCATCATCTGCCCGGAGGAGCCATACGATAAGCGAGTACCAAACATTTGGTCCATCATGTCCAAAGTGCGACTGGAGGCCTTCCTATGGGGTGCAGGCACGGCGCTTGGCGAACTGCCGCCCTACTTCATGGCCAAGGCGGCGCGACTCTCGGGTTACGATCCGGACGATGCCGAGGAGCTAGCCGAATTCGAGGCGTTAAATGCCAAGCGTCATCAGAAGAACCTCAGTCTAGTGGACAAGGGCAAGCTGTTTATGGAGCGCGTTGTGGAGCGAGTCGGCTTCTTTGGCATCCTGGCCTGTGCAAGCGTGAGTGGTGGATATATCTATTCAGTGGGGTTCGTATTATATCCTCTTGCGAGAGGGAGGGTATGTGCGAACTCTGCTAACCATTTGTCTTAACTAAAAAATGGGAACTAATAACTAATTCCTCCTTGCCTTGCAGATTCCCAATCCCCTGTTTGATCTGGCTGGCATTACTTGCGGCCACTTTCTGGTGCCATTCTGGACGTTTTTCGGAGCCACGCTCATCGGCAAGGCCGTGATCAAGATGCACATACAGAAGATCTTCGTTATTATTGCCTTCAATGAGACGCTCATCGAGCGGGCGGTAGACCTCTTGGCCACGCTACCCGTGCTCGGCCATAAGCTGCAGGAACCGTTCAAGTCGTTCCTTAAGAATCAAAAGCAGCGACTGCATCGGCAGCAACGTGGAACAATCGGTGGCGTTGGCGGTCCTGGTGATTCTGGCAACCTGCTGTCCAAAATCTTTGAGACGTTCGTAATCGGTATGGTCTGCTATTTTGTAGTCTCCATTGTGAACTCCCTGGCCCAGAGCTATCACAAGCGACTGCACAAGAAACCGTCAGCGTTAACGCCACCAGGAACATCAACAGCGGCGCTCAAGAGGCTGGGCAAGTCTAAGGCTTTAAAAGATTAGAGCATGTCGCAATCTCTTCAGATCAGTTTCGTTTTTATATATATTTTGTTTAATGTTTTTGTCGCTTTTAGTCGAATTATAAGTGTATGCGGTGAAAAGATTAATCCTTTTTTTTTTGTCAGTCTGAGAAAAAGAGAAATAGAGAATAGAGCCAGAGGAATTTACCTTGTAGACTAGATTAGGAAAAGCAGGAGGAGGAGGCGAAGGAGAAGAAGGCGGAGTGATCCGTGTAGCAGCCACAATAGACGGAGATGAATATATTTAAGGAGAGTGAAAGAAAACACCCTAGTAATTTATATCTTTGCGTCGGGAAAGTAACAGACAGCAGCTAGTCGTCTCTCCTAATGAAAAGCAAAAGGAAAAGCTGTGCAAAAGACAAAACAAAAATATTAACAAGCCAGAGCAAACAGAGAACCCAAAATTAAGTGTAGAGTCAGGAGAATTAAGAATAAATTATACAAATGCTGAAAAATAAACGAAATATGAATATATATATACAACTGAAAGCCGATGTGTGTAATAATTCATATGGGAAGGCTGGGTATTATCATTCTTGTTTTTGTTGTAAAAAAATAGCCAATGTTTTTGTTTTTGTTGTTGTGGTTTTTGTTGTCGTGGTTTTTGTTGTCGTGGTTTTTGTTGTCGTTTTGTTGTTGTTGTTGTTGTTTTTGTTGTTGTTGTTGTTGTTGTTGTTTTTGTTGTTTTTGTTTTTGTTGTTGTTGTTGTTGTTGTTGTTGTTGTTGTAATTTTTGTTGTTGTTGTTGTTGTTGTAATTTTTGTTGTTGTTGTTGTTGTAATTTGTGATGTTGTTGTTGTTGTTGTAATTTGTGATGTTGTTGTTGTTGTACATACTGTGCAAATCGTGCGGTTGTGTGTTGTACATACTGTGAAATCGTGCGGTTGTGTGTTGCTGAGCCAAGCCTTCGATGTGCTCGGCGTCACTTAAAATTCGACCTGAAATACCAGGCGAACAGAAATCAGCAGCAAGCAAATTTAATTTTTTGCAAATTCATTTTACGCCCCAAAAGTATGCTACACCACCCCCAAAAGTATGCAATTACAAAAATATAAACCATTTGCCAGTGTCACCACACCCCAATTTTTTTGGCCAGTGTGTCCATATTGCAAATTTTCGGTTGCGGGACTTATCGATTAATTTATCGATGGCGGTCAATTTAAATTTAAATTCAAATTTTGCAATTTTTTGCCAGTGTCACCACACTTTAAAATTTGGCCAGTGTGTCCACATTGCAAATTTTCGGTTGCGGGATTTATCGATTAATTTATCGTTGGCGGTCAATTTAAATTTAAATTCAAATTTTGCAAACTTTTTTGCCAGTAACTTTGTAACTTTTGGCCAGTATGACCACATTGTGAACCTTCGGTTGGGGGATTTATCGATTAATTTATCGTTGCCGGCAATTTACATTCAAATTTGTCGGTTAACTGATATGGCGGGTACTGATGGTCTATTTAAATTCTAATTCAAATTTGGCAGTTAAATTAATACTTTTTGAACAACAAGATTAATATCATGACTTTTTGGAATAACAAATGTGAGAAAATGCATTCTTAAATTAAATATTCAATAGTCAAAATAAGGTTTTTCAATGGTTTTGCCATTCCTAACACTTACCTTATAATTACCTTCATGCTTTGACTTGTATATGTATATGTATATATATATATTATATAATATAATATTATTCGTTTTTACAATTTTTTTGTAATGATTTTTCTTTATTATGAATGTTTTTAGTTTTTCTTCATCTTACAATTTTTCCCCCCAGTATATATATGTATAATAATAATAAAAAAAATGTTTTATTCTTTCAACAAATAGTTTCTCTTCTCTTTCATTATTTCATTTCTCATTTTTACTCATATTATGTTGTGGTTTCTTTCCATCATTCGTTATCCATTATGTAGCTTGACATTAAATATACAATTAACTTCACATATATAGCGTTGTATATGGCCCGATTGGCGAATACAGCTTTAGTTTCCTTCCTTCTTCCTTTCTTTCTTTTACTAAAATTTATTCTAAAAACACACGCTTAAAATGAAGAGGGAAGCACAGATTTGTTTTTGCACAAGAGAACGAAAAAATTATATAAAAAAATGCACACACATTTATGTATATATAAATATAAAAATCATAATGATATATTTAAAAAATAAAATATATTTATATATAGATTGATGTGTAAAAAAAACACGCGCAACGACGAAAAGTTTTCTTTTTTTTTTTGTAACTACACACACAACAAAAATCGAGAATATATATATATATATATATAAAAAGGAGGTGGTAAAACACGAGACAAGAGAAAGGAAAAGCTAGGCTTTTCTTTTTATTACATTTTCATTAGTTTTTTTTCTTGTTGGGAATCTATTGCGAATGGAAGAAACTAATTTTTAAATCTCGATCAAATGCGATTTTGTTGGATTAATTATTAATTAGCCTGCGTGTGCGCGTGTGTGTGTTAAATAAATAATTAAATTAATTATTATAAATAGATCGATAGATAGATGTGTGTGTGTGTGGGAATGCTTGATTTCTTTTGGATCCGATCAGATTCGATCCTGGGTTTTTAGCACAAAAGTGTGGCTGCACATTTATAATTTATAATTTGTTGTATATATATTCTTTTTAGCTCGCTTTTTGTGTTTTGTTTTGTTTGTTTATTTTTTTTATATATTTTTTTAGAAAAATATATATATATATATATAGAAATCCTAGCTTGGAATGTGTTCTCTCCTTAGTTGCCTTTGTATACATATACACATATATATATATATATATATATATATATATATATATATATTCTTGTTGCTTTTCGTTTCCAATTTACATACATTTATATATAGTTAATATTGTCATTTAGCTTTCAAAAAAATATATACTCTATGCCTTAATTTTGTTTCGTTTTTTTTCTTGCTTTTTACAATTTTCTCAGCTTTCCTTTAGTTTTTTTTTGTTTTGCAAAATAACATTACACACTCGAAAAAAATAGTAGGGGAAAAAACAATAGGTCACAAAAAGTTGGCTTTACAAAAGTGGTTTTGTGTGTATGTGTGTGTGTGGAGTCTGATAAAACTGCTCCTAGTGTTGTGTACATTTATATATTTAGATTAACCTTTTAGTTTTAGTTTTTTATTTTTTTAATTGTATTTTTATTTAATAATAATTGCAACGCTTCTTCTGCTGGTTCTTACCTTTTCCTTCTTGTTTTTTTTTTTTTTTTTTGGATATGTGTATTTGCCATCCCCTTCCCCAGAGGACCTTCTCCTGGGCCGCATTATTCTCCCACTTGGTTGCTGTGGTGCTGCTGCCTGGCTACACCTTGGTGGTGGCCTTGGCCGCCTGCCAGGATTTGTGATGTTTACTGCTAGGGCGTCCTTGTACCTCCCGTTGATGATGATGATGATGGTGTTCCGGCTCCGTTTGCATCTGTGACTGCGGCTCCTTCCTTTGCCTGATGATTCTTTGTTATGTCTGCAGGGGATAAGTGTTCTTGGTCTCCGCGGTGGAGAGCTGACGGCGACAGCTGGCCACCGCCACAGCCATCGCAACGGCAGCCGAGTGATGGGCTTGATATCAGCATTCGGACTTATCCTCCTCCACAAGGAACTGTGTATCCTTGCCGGTGTCCGCCGATGGATCCAGCTCCCTGGTGCGCAGCTGGAGCTGCGGCGATGCCTTGTGCGTGATGCTGCTGGGTGCAATGATTGCCGAGGCGGGCTCCGTAAAGGAACCGCTGGCATGATGGCCAATGGCCTTGCCCTTGGCTGAGGGTTCACCGGGAACATCATAGATGCCTGCACAGGGAGAGAAAGAGGGGATTAGATGGGGATTGATTTGGATTGCTCCAAACTCACCCGAACCATTGCCCATGCCCGGATCGGCAGTGGTGCCCGACTGCACGGCATCGTACATGGGATTGGCAAAGTCACGCGCCTTGTTGGCATTCACAGTCTGCAGGTTGTAGCCCTCAATGGGCGCCATATCACCTGCTCCGGGAGCAGAGGCGCCAGGGAAGCCACTCTCGCTGAACTCCACATTCGAGCCGTGGCGGAAGGTGACGCTCTGGGAGGAGGTCATGGCCGGCATGCGTGCCAGTTTGCCACTACAAGGAAGTAAGGAAACATGGTTAATAATGATACTTTTGCAAGGTATAAAAAACTACTTACAATGGTCGCTTGCGGATGACATACCAGGCCCCGGCGGCGGCCATCATTACCAGCACGATGACCATTATGGGCACCACCACGGCGGTGACATTTGCACCGCCATGGCCAAAGGCACCGGTGGTGCTTGTCTCACAGTGATCGCCACGGAACTCGGACATGCATTCACAGATGAGCTCGCCCTGGGCATCCTCCTTGCAGAGGCCACCATTCTGGCAAGGGCAGATCCTTGGCGCCGGACGTGGATGCTCGGCGGCAGCATTGCAAATAACCTCGGCGGTGCTGCGATGCGAGGGCGGCGGCCCAGAGGCATCGGGACAGGCACAACGATGACCGCCAGGGACGAGGAGGCACAGGTGGGAGCAGGTGGAGTTGTCACAGGGATTGGGCAGCGAGGTATTGTACCGCTTGTCGTGGTACACCTTCAGGCCGGACGGATTGACAAGATTGCGATGCAGCACCACCTGCACTCCGCGTCCGAATTTATCCTGGCGCACCAGCTCCCCGGTGTCGCGGGTCATCCAGAACATGTTCGACTCGAAGAGATCCAGGGAAACAGGATGTCGCAGCTGGTCACCCTTGACGATGGCCTTGCGGCGTGATCCATCCGCCCGCATTGACTCGATGGCATTCAGTTTGGTGTCTACCCAATAGATGATGTGATCCTGCGAGTAATCAATGGTCAATCCAGCCGGATGACGGATCTGTTCGGTAATCAACGGCCTGCGCTTAGAGCCATCCATCCAGGACACTTCGATCTTGGGCGCCGAACCGGCATCAGACCAATAGATCCTGCCCAGCTGCGGATTCACAGCTATCGATGTGGGCACCTCCAGACCGGCATTGACTATGGAACGACGATACCGACCATCGGTCTTGGCCACCATCACGCGTCCCCTTGGCTTAGAGCCCGTTCTGTCCATTTCGGTCCAGTAGAGATTCGAGGCTAGCCAGTCCACGGCCACGGCAGTGGGTTTTGAGCCGCCCTTCATGTTCAGATCCTGGGCGAAGCCAATCTTGGCCCTGCCATCAATGGCATTAACCATGTACGAACGCTTGATGGTCTTGTCATAGCTGTCCGCCCAGAACACGATCTGCTGTTGTGCATCATAGTCCAGTGCCTCGATTCTCTTCTCGGCGGCTATCACCTCGAATTCCTCGCGCTTCTGTAGGTCCAATCCTCGAATCTCTTGCCCGTTGGCAAACACCAGAATGACATCCTCCTTCTCGGCACGACACACACCACTGGCTCCATCGGTCAGATGGAAGCCCTCTCGACAGCTGCACGAATAGGTGCCATTCAGGTTGTGACACTGGTGCGAACAGGTATGTTGTCGCGTGAGACACTCATCCACATCGGAGCACTTCTTCTTGTTGTCCGCCGCTATGATGTAACCCGGATAGCAGGTGCAAATGTAGCCGCCATCGGTGAGATTATGGCAATGATGCTGGCAACCGCCACGTGTCTGCTCCGAGCAGCTGCTCGTGTGATGGCATCCCAGCTCATCGCTGCCATCACCACAATCGTCGGCATAGTCACACACCTGGGAGCGTTCGATGCAATGCTTATTGGCACACTGGTATTGAGTGTACAAATCGCAGGGCTTCTGTTTGCTGGCACACAGGGTCATGTTGTTCTCATCGCTGCCATCGCCACAATTGTCCACTCCATCACAGATCTGATAGCGGGCCACACAACGATGATTCGAGCACTGGAAGCGCCGCAAGGTGTCACAGTTGAAGTCACTGCAAACGCTGGGATCCTCGTCGCTGCCATCGCCACAGTCATCGGTGCCATCGCACAGATCGGACAGGGAAACGCACAAATTGTTGTTGCACTGGAAACGTGACTCCGGGCAGTATCTGCCGCCTGGGAAGCGTGGCGGACAGCCCACCTCATCGGACATGTCGCGACAATCACGGTCGCCATCGCAGCGGAAATATGAGGCAATGCAGTGTCCAGAGGCACACTGGAAGGTGCCATTCTTGCACTGATAGCCCTCGCAGTGCATCTCATCGGAGTTATCACCGCAGTCATCCTCGTGATCGCACTGCCAGCGGGATGAGATGCATTTGCCATTGCCGCAACGGAACTCTGACTCGGAGCAGTCACGATAACGACCCTTGCACACAGCCTCGTTCTCATCGCTGGCATCGCCACAATCATCGGCAAAGTCACACATCCATTGCCTGGAATTGGATAAATCAAGGATTAATAATGGAAGCTGGCAACATTTATGTTTGCTTCACTCACTTGGGTATGCATCGGTTGTTGCCGCACTTAAAGTCCGTTTCCGCATTACATTTGGGACAGTTCTCTGGCAGCTCATCGCTGTTATCCCGGCAATCATCCTTGCCATCACAGAACAGCCACTTGGGTATGCATCGATAATTGGATTGGCCAGGACAACGCTGCCAGCCAGTGGTGCAGTTCCTCTGCCGGCACATATAAGCAGGCTCATCCGAATCATCACCGCAATCATTGTCAAAGTCGCACATCCACAGCTGGGGAATGCAGCGTCCATTCTTGCAGGCAAACTCGGTCTTCGGGTCACAGGTTCGCTTGACTGTAACAGGAAAAGAAGAATGAATTAATATATAAGCATAACTACCCATAGTATTCTCTAGTACTTACAGCACACGGCGGGGTCTTCATCGCTGCCATCCTTGCAATCAGCATCACCATCACATCGCCAGCTATCCAGGATGCAACGACCGCTGGACTTGCACTTGAAATCAGACAGTGGACAAGGCAGATCACAATTCTGTTCATCACTGCGATCTCCACAATCATCGACGCCATCGCAAATCGTGGCCGATGGTGTGCAGTTTGTATTCTTGCACTGGAAGGTACCGGCACGGCAGTGACGTGGAGCACAGGTTGCTGGTTCATCGGAGCCATCCTTGCAATCCTTCTCGCCATCGCATTTCCAGAACCAAGGTATACACTTCTCATCCCGTCCACCGCACAAATGCTGTCCAGCTGTGCAGTTGGCCACGCAGGTCTTCATGTCCCTGGCCAGATAGAATTGATTGGGACAGGCGCACTTGTAAATGGGTGCTCCCTCCTCGATGTAGCCCTCGATGTTCAGGTAGGTGGACTCCGGCGGTGGAGCAATCAGGCAGAGATGAGAGCAACCGCCGTTGTTTGTGCCACAGGGATTCGTATATGGAAGCTGTCGCAGCGGATGATTGATGTGCAGGTCATAGGGACGGTGGGTGGTGTTCCTTAGGACGGTGTAGTTGGCGCCATGGAACTTATTGGCTCGCACAATGGCCTTCAGGTTCCAATCGCTCCAATAGATATAATCATCGAACAGACTTAAGGCGAACACATGCGGCACCTTGCTGCCTGACAGCACCGTGTGACGATGTCGACCCTCCAGATCCGCATAGGCAATATAGTCCAAATGGGCATCGGCCCAGTAAATGCGATCCGTGAAGTAATCAATCGATAGGGCATTGGGCCAGGCAATGTCATCGTTCCAGTTCAGGATCCTGGTGAAATTTGAACCGTCCATGCCCATCTTGGCAATGTATGCCTGTAAATGCCACGAGGTGAAGTACAGATAACCAATGCCAGGATGAACGACGATGGCACGGGGATCAACAACGCCACTCCTCAGAGTTTTCCTCTTGGTTCCATCCAGCTCGGAGACGTCCAGGTTCTTGGAGTGCCTGTCCAGCCAGTAGAGCTTTCGGCCAACCCAATCGATGGCTATGCCTTCCAGGCCATGGGAATCATGCCTAATGACTGCCTCTCTCTCTGGCGGCGTCTCATCATCCGGTTCTCCATACTTGGCCCTGAAGATAGTCTTGGCCGTGACATCACAGAAGTACATGTACTCCTCACGTATATCAAAGTCCAAGGCAACCACATTCATGAGATCCTGATGCATCAGATTGTACTGGTGTCCATCCACCGACATATTGCGTACATAGTACTTGTTGGTGAATATCAGCCACGGTGGGATATTGTCCTTTCGCTTGCATGTATGCTCATCGTTCTGCCTCTCGTAGTAGGTCTCATCGCATTTGCAGTAGAAGCCACCAGGAGTGTTGGAACAGTGCTGGGAACAGGCACCCGGCTGCTCCAAGCACTCATCCACATCCGCACAAGCCTTGCCATCGGCCAGGAGTCTGGTAGAAGATGGATAATATAGGTTAATAATAGTTAATATGGCCTAGGATTCAACACTCACTTGTAGCCCTCATTGCAGTCACAGTAGTAACCTGTTAGAGTATCCACACACTTGTGGCCACACTGATTAATCTCCACCTTGGCACACTCATCGACATTGCAGTGGGCAGGCTCATCGGATTCATCGGCACAGTCCGGATACTTGTTGCACACCAGGTTGTAGTCAATGCATTGGCCATTTGTGCAGGCAAACTGACCATGCGGACAGGTCACATTCTCCTTGACGCAACCCACTTCGTCCGAGTGATCGCCACAGTCATCTTCGCCATCGCAGCGGGATTGATTGCGAATGCACTTGAAGTTCTGGCAGGTGAACTCCTGCGGTGAGCAGGTCTTGTACTTTGAATTGCAGAATTTGCCCTCGTCGGTGCCATCGCCGCAATCGTTGTCATGGTCACAGATCCAGCCCTGTATAAATATTAAAACTCTCTATTAATAAACTCCTTCTTAAAAAGGATCTAAAGGACCTCCTACCTTATTGATGCATCGTCCGTTGCCGCAGGTGAACATGTCCTCGCCGCATGGCTGCTGTGTGGCACAGTTGTGCAGGGTGGTATTCTCATCGGCTCCATCCACACAATCTGGATCTCCATCGCAGATCCATTTCTTGGGTATGCATTGGGCACGCTGCCAGGACTTGTTCTCCACACAAGTGAACTCCGTCTCCTCGTCACACTTGCGATCATCTGCAGGAAAATAAGGGGTATTAATAGAAGACTTAACATTCTGCAGAGAAACAAAACTTACTGCACTGATGCCGATTATCCTCATCACTGTTGTCCAAGCAATCATTGTCCCCGTCACAGATGTAGATTCTGGGTATGCAATTGCCATTGTCACAGGTAAACAGATCCCCAAAGCAGGTGCGTCCCTCCGATTTGCAGTAATCTGGCGGCTCATCTGCTCCATCACCACAGTCATCGTCGCCATCGCAATACCAAGTGGCCGGAATGCATCTATGGTTGGGACACCTGAAGCTATTCGTGGGGCAAGTCCTTTGTCCACAATGCAGCGGATCCTCGTCCGAATTATCACCGCAATCATTGTCTCCGTCACATAGCCAATAAGGTTCCACACAAATGTTGGTCTTCTCGCATTTGAGATGATTTGCCGGACAGGTGGTGTTCATGGGACAACGCTCATGCGTCTCATCCGAGGTGGCATTATCCTTGCAATCATTGACACCGTTGCACACCTGAGCCTGTGGAATGCAGCGTCCGTTGCCGCAGGTAAACTCACCGTCCACGCAGGGCGGATAGGTGCAGCCCAGCTCATCGGAGCCATCCTTGCAGTCGTTCTCGTGATCACATTTCCAGGACTTGAAGATGCAGCGCCCATTATTGCAACGGAACTCATTCGGGGAGCAGGAGTGATAGGCACAATAGTTGGCATCCTCATCGGAATTGTCACCGCAATCATCGTCGCCATCGCAGGACCACATCCTTGAGATGCATCTGCCATTCTTGCAGTAGAATTTGCTTGCCTCGCATGTATTATTCCTGGGAGCACACATCCTGCCCTCGTTGACCACCTTGGTGTTGTCATCGCACTTGCACTCCGCCTTGCCATTGGGCGCCGGATGACAGCTCTGGGCACAGCCACCGTTATTGATCCGGCAGGGATTCACATTGCATTTCTGTCGATCGGCACTGTAGATGCGAATGTCACGGGGTGAGTCCTCCAGTCGCTTCACCATCTCCACCATATTGGCTCCCGTATGCTTCTCAGCCCGGTAAACTCCACGCAGCTGCAGGTCCGTCCAGTAGATGTAGTTCCGGAACACGGTTATGGCAAACGGATATATGGTGGCTGCCACCAAAAGCTCCCTATTCTGACCATCCAAATCGGATCTCTCGATCTTCTCCCTCACCGCATCCGTCCAGTACAGGCGTCGCTCATCATAGTCAATGGCCAGGCCACTGGGCTGTGATAGATCCTTGTCCACAATGGCTCGCTTCTGGGATCCAGCCATGGTGGTGCGGAATATCTTGCCAGAGGTACCGAATCTTCCCCAGTCCGTAAAGAACAGGGTGCCATTGCAGGGATCCAAAACAATGGCACGAGGACGTTCCACGCGGGCAATCATCACCAGCTCACTGCCGTCGAGATTCATGGCATAGATGGAGTTGTTGGAGCTATCCGTCCAGTAGATCTTCCTCTGGGTCCAGTCGTAGGCAATGCCCTCGGGATTGATGCCCTTGTTGAGGACCACATTGATGTCATCATGGCTCGGCTTATTGGCCTTGGTGTAAGCAATCTTGGCCCAGGGACGGATTTGTGTGTACAGCATTCGATTATCGGCAAAGTCAAAGTCCAACCCCACAACATTTGTGAGATTTGTAAGCGGTGTGAAGGGCACTTCCGTGGAATGTGGATCAAGGTTAACGGCACGGATCTCAGTTCTGGTGGCAAACACTAGATATTCATTGACAGTCTCACATTTCCTCTCGTCGGCACTCAGCTTTCCAGTGGCGCAATCGCAGCGGAAGTTCCGGCCCGAGGGACCCGTGGCACCGCCTTCCGGTGGGAAACTAAAGCAAAGCTGATCGCAGCCACCATTGCCCAGATGGGCACAAGGATTGGCATCATCCTGCGGCTGATTGTTGATATTAAAGATGGCAATGTCGCGCAGCTTCTCCAGATTCGTTCTCACACGAACGGCCGACTCGTTGGCATTCAGCTTGGAGGCCTTGAAGACAGTCATCAGGTTCCTGTCCACCCAATACACATCATTCAGATAGATGGCAATGCCCATGGGATTGGGCAAATCCCGACGGATGACCTTGCGATTGGCACCATTGTAAGAGATCTTCTGTATGGTATCCAGCTTGGAATCCACCCAGAAAATATCATGGGTCTGCATGTCAATGGTGAGATCCTTGGGCATCGAGATGCCCGAGGTAACCAGCGGCGTCCACTTGCTGCCATCGAGCAGGGCCTTGCCAATTCTGGGATGCTGTCCATAGTCAATCCAGTAGAGCAGCCTCTTGATGGGATTCACGGCCAGTTCACGCGGTGCATCGGTGGTGGTCTTCACCAGAACCTTCCTGTTGCTGCCATCCATCCAGCAGACCTCCACGTAGTTCTCATGCGGATAGACATTGGTGAAGTACATGTTGCCGGCCACCCAGTCAATGGTTAATCCTCGAATGCCGTTGCTACCGATGCCATCCTTGACCACATGCTGGATATCAGTGCCATTGGGTCGCGATCTAAAGATGCCATTCCAATAGCCACGATTGTACTCCGCCCAGTAGATCCATTGTTCACGGAACATTACGTCCACATGAAGGATGTGATGTCCTGGTCCGCTAACAGGAACCATGGCCTCAGTACTGTCACTCAGACTGTAACCACGGATCGTGTCCAGCTGGGAGACCACGGCAAAGGTCTTGTAGTTCACGCAATTGACCTCGTTCTCCTTCCGGGAACCAATGCCACAGGCACAGGATCTTGTGGCAGCCTCGGCTGGCAGGCAGAGATGCTTGCAACCGCCGTTGTTCGTCTGGCAGGGATGCTGCATCGAGGCCCGCTTCTTGTAGATCATCATGGAGCGCAGATCGGCCTCGTTATCCACAATGGTCTTGGGGTTATCGCCATGCGGCAGATCCAGCCGCACAATCCGTTCGTACAGGGGATCCAAATAGTAGAGCCTGTGATCCAGAATGCCCAGACTCTTGGGCTTGGCCATCGGATGCGAATCCTTCATGGTAATGGTGGTGCGCTCATCACCATTGTAATCCATGACACCAATGAGACCCGGGTTGCTGGCACTGTAGTACAGCAGCTTCTTCTCGATATCCACGACCAGGGATTCAGGATGCGAGATCTCCTGCAGGAGCACTATGGGATTCTTGCCGTTCATGTCCACGCGACCGATTTTCACCGGTACCTCCAGGACGCCCTCATCTATCCAGAAGAGTTTACCATCGGTGGGATCCAGGACAATCTGCTTGGGCCGGGACACGGAGTTGGGATAACCATTGTTGGCCAGGATGATGGCCCGATACTTTTGCTTGCCATCCACTCGCACTGCCTCGATATTACTGGCCACACGATTGCCAATATACAGATTCCTGCCAAGCCAGTCAAAGGCAATGGTGTAGGGGGCTCCCACCATGCCGTTGTCGATGCCCAGGAACAGGGTCTTGTTGCCGCCGCCATAGGGTGTCGTGTAGATGGTGCAATTCTCATCGTCATCCTCCTTGCCCTGCACCCAGTACAGGGTCTCACCCTTGCGATCAAAGTCCAGTCCAGTGCTGCTCTCGATGCCAATTACCGGGGCCAGGGCTCCGGCTCTGGCATCGCCACCATTCAGCGGCAGATCCACAATCTGTGTGCCCTTGACCACCATCAGGAAGGGATTCTCCTCCTCGATGCAGCGTCCCTCGCTGAGGAGCTTGTAGCCGGGCTTACACTTGCAGGAGTAACCCTCCGTTTCCTTGGGACTCAGCAGGCACAGATGCTGGCAATGAGCCTGGGCACAAGGATTCGGCGACATGGGCTGCAGGGAGGCATGATGGACATGTATGGACAGCGGCTGACTGATCAGATGGGAGACCACAGTCTGGTTCTTGCCACGGAACTTATTCGCAGATAAAACACGATTCAGCTGCCTGTCCGTCCAGTACAGTGTGTCCTCGAACAGGGACAGCGAGTGCGGATGAAGCAAATAGTGACTACTGGCCAGGACCTGCTGTCTGCCGGTACCATTGTAGTAACAAAAGTCAATAAAGTCCAGTTTGGAGTCTGCAAAGTACACCCTCTTGGTGGCTATATCCAGGGTTAATCCATTGGGCCAATAGATCTTCGTATTGATGATTGTCTTCCGCATGGAACCATCCATACCAATACGCTCCACTCGCGGGTTCTCGCCCCAGTCCGTCCAGAAGATCCATCTGGCACCGGGACTTGGATCGATGCACATGCCTCGGGGCTGGGTGATGTTCTCCCTGACCAGGACCAATCGATTGGAACCATTCTCCGCGGACACCTCAATGGTATTCAGTTTGCTGTCCAGCCAATACAGATTCTGGGCTATCCAATCGTAGGCCAATCCCTCGACCAGATCCAGACCCGTATTGATAATTTCCTGCGGTTCCATGCCTCTGTCCAATCGTGAGATCTTCTTCAGCTTCATGTCACTCCAGAAAATGGTGCCAGTGTGCATATTCGAGGCAGTGGCCACCACATTCTCCACAATGATGGGCACCCGTTCCAGTCCCTGCTCCTTGAGGTCAGCTACCAGGATGGAGTGACGATTGGAGATGATCAAGAAGGCGGCGGTGTGATTGACAGCCTTGCAGGTATGCTTGTTCGGTTCCAGGATATAGCCATCTGTGCAGGAGCAGAAGTACGAGCCCTTGGTATTGGTGCACTGCTGCGAACAGAGTCCTGGGGGATCACACTCATTCGTATCGATGCAGGTGAAACCATCTTCGCCAATCTCTGAGCCCGGCGGGCATACACACAGCGCTCCATTGGGCGTCTTCTGGCAGAAGCTGGAACACTGACCAGCCTGATGCTCACACTCCGCGAGATCACAGCCTTCGCCCTCATCGGATCCATTGGGACAGTCGGGTGTATCGTCACAGACGGAAGTGATATTCACACATCTCTCAGAGACGCCGGGACACTGCCACTGGCCGTGGGGACACTTGAATGGCGGCGGGACACAGGCATGCTCTGCACCTTCATCCGAATTATCTCCACAATCATCCTTGCCATCGCAAATGTAGGCCTTAAACACACAATTGGTGTTGTTGCACTTGAAGAAATTCTGGGCACAGGTGATTTGGCCGCATTCCTGCTCATCGGAATGATCGGAGCAATCGTTGGATCCATCACAATGCCAGGCAATGGGTATACAGAAGCCAGTGGATTTGCAACGGAAATGCTTCTCCAGATTGCATTGATTGGGTCCCATCGAGGGGCAGCCCAGTTCATCGGAGCCATCATTACAGTCCGGAATGCCATCGCATTTGTACGATTCCTCGACGCACTGCCTCAAATCGGCGCATTTGAATTGATTCGCCAGACATGAGATCGGTGGGCAATCCTTCTCGTCCTGTTTGTCAAAGCAATCATCGTCGCCATCGCAAACCCAACTATGGGGAATGCAGTGACCCGTCCGGGGACATGTGAACTGGAAGTAGGCGCAGGTCTTCTCAGCACAAAAGTCACCCTCATCACTGCCATCGCCGCAATCATTCTCGCTGTCACACTTCCACATATTGGGTATGCATCGACCATTGGCGCAGGCAAACTGGGAGGTGCCGCAGGTCACATTGCCGCACTCCTGCTCATCCGAATTGTCACCGCAATCGTTCTCCTGGTCGCATCGGAAGTTCTGTGGTATGCAGCGACCCGAACGGCACTGGAATTCATTGGCTCCGCAAGTAGGTTCTGGAAAAGATTACACATAGGATTAGGATTGGTCAAGATAAGTAAGAGATCTTGCTACTCACTTGTGCAGTTCTGCTCCTCATCACTGTTATCCAGACAGTCATCATCGCCATCGCACACCCACGACTTGGGTATGCATCTCTGATTGTTGCAGGTAAAGTCCCAGGAGTTGGGGCAGGGTTGTACTGGAGGCTCTGCTCCGGGATCGGGCATGCAGCTCACCTGATCCTCGGCCAAACGTTCGCCATAGGGACAGGAGCAGCGCGCCTGCAGGCGTCCAAATGAGGGTGATGGTGTGGTTACCTCACCGGAGGTGGAATTCTGACCACCTCCTCCAATGGGCACTGCAAAGCAGATCTTCTGACAGCCTCCATTGTTCCTGTGACAGGGTTGTGTGTCTGATATTCTCTGAACCTCGTGACTGTAGACCTTGACGCCATAAAGCCTGTTCGTTTGCGGCTCCCGGACCATCATCTCCTCCTGCTCGCCGGTTAGTTTGTGCAGCCTTATAATCGCATCCAATCGCCAGTCTGTGATGTACATCCAATCGTTGTGAATCACAATGGAGAAGGGATGACGCACCAGTCGTGAGTTGACCGTCTTGATGTCCGTGCCATCTAGGTTGGCATGCTGCACATGATCCAGCAGGGCATCGCACCAGTAAACACGATCCTCCTTAAAGTCAATGGAGAGGCCATTGGGCCATCCTAGGGTCACGTTCTTGAAGACCAGCAATCCACTGCCATCGGTATTTGCTCTCGTTATATTGGCCGGTCGATCCCATTCGGAGAAGAAGATGAAGCCTCGATTCGGATGAACCACAATGGCACGGGGACGCTTCAGGTTCTTTAGCAGCGTGCGACGGTGGGTCACATTCCTTGTGGACAGGACATTCAGGGTACCCTTGCGGGAGTCAATGTAGTACAGATTCTTGGAGGCCCAATCAACGGCTAGACCCTCAACTCCTTCATTTTGCGAGGCGAGGACTATCTCTCGGCCAGTGCCATTACGATGCACTCTGTATATAACATCCTGCAGGACATCCGAGTAGTAGATGAACTCATCACGGGCATCAAAGTCCAGGCCCACGAAACGTGCTCGACGGGAGACAACCGGCATGATGGCATCACTGAAGCCCTCAATCACCGGTTCCAGTACCTTGCCCTTGATGAATCGCTGCTGGGAGTACATAAGGAACTCCACCACGGGTTTGCAGAGCTTAAGATCCGTCTCCAGCTGATAGCCAGTGGAGCAGGCACAGCGGAAACCAAGTCCAGTGGGAGCACCCTTCACGGCCGTCACAATGCACATGTGATTGCAGCCGCCGTTGTTATTTCCACAGGGATTCGATACCCTCGGCTGGCTGAGGGCATGTACGGCTATGATGCCCTTGGGCTCCCTAATATCCTTGGCCTTGTATGTCACCTGAATGGAGCTGGGTCCCTCGAATTTGTCCACCGACATAATGCCCTGCTTGGTGGCATCCGTCCAGTATATCCTATTCTCGAACAGCGCCAGCCGCGATGGACTGGGCACCTGCTGTCCACGGAGCACCATGACGCGATGTGCTCCCTCATAGTCCACGGACTCGATGTAATCCAACAGGGAATCGCACCAGAAGACTCGCTTGCTTATGATATCCACCGTCACGCCGCTGGCCTTATACGCCGCCTCCGAGACAATGGATCTGGCATGTGTGCCATCCATGTGAGCCCTCAGCACCTGACCACCATCTGCCACAAACATCAGTCCAGCCGTTGGATCCAAAGCCAGATCAGCGGGTGAGGTCAGATTGGAACCGAGGACTACGGCATGCCACTGTCCACTCAGCTCAAATACATCGATCTTCTGACCCACCAGATCCGCCACATAGATCTTATCTCCAACCCAGTCCACGGCCAAGGCCACGGGTGCCCATGTGCCAGGCAGGGTTTGATCAAATGGCGACACTGCCTTATTCTGTGGATCCAGCGGCAAACTCTGCACCTTCCTGGTCTTGATGTCGGACCAGTACAGCGTATTCCTGGCATAATGGAAGGTAACACCCGCCGCAGCCGTGGCATTGGCCAGGATCTTAGAGTCCGTGCCATGGGATAACATTCTCATGATGGCCCTGTCATGGGCAAAGATCAGTTGCAAATTATTGGCATCGGGTGCAATGCATTTGGAGTCATTAATGAGTGAGTAACCCTGGGCACATTGGCATGTATAGGAGCCCAAGGTGTTGGTACACAGCTGGTCACAGTGTCCCCACTCGGCGCACTCGTCCAGATCCACGCAGGTTCGGTTGTCAGGGGCCAGGGATTGACCCGGTTTGCAGTAACAAACGCCACCGGTTAAAGAAGGTCGGCACTTGAACTCACAGCTCAAGGCGGGACAGGAGGCAATGGCTAAGGGAAGGTAGAGAAAGAAAGTCAGTAGGATATAGTGCAAGCTCCTGGCTTGGAGTACTCACAGCAATTGGTCTCCTCATCACTGCCATCCTCACAGTCGCGCTTTCCATCACAGAGCTGAGATTTCAAAATACATTTGGGCGTGCCACTGGCTCCGCCACGTGGACAAAGGAACTTATTGTCCGGACAGGCAATGGCCGTGCAATTGGCCTCGTCACTCTTGTCCGCACAATCGTGGTAGCCATCGCAATGGAAGTTGTACGGAATGCACAAGGCATTCGAGCACCGGAACTGAGCATGATGGCAGGGTGGGAAATCTACCGAAACAAAATAAATTAAATATTGGAAAATTGGGAAATGGGAAATTATTAATCACTTACTGCAACCCTGCTCATCGGAATTGTCACCACAATCATCCCGATGGTTGCACTTGAGGGCGGCGTCTATGCATTTGTGTCCATTGGCACACCGGAATTGGTCCAGGCGACAGGATACACCGCTGCAGCCATCCTCGTCCCGTCCTGTACGACAATCCAGGTAGCCATCGCATCGCTTCTCCTTGGGCACACAGGGTCCAACCAAACGGGCGCCCTCCGCTGGAGCAGCACCATTGGGGGCATTGCAAAAGACATCCGTATGCTGGCATTTGCGGTAGGCTGGAAGCAAGGGATTTATTATAATTAATATTAATATAATATTAATAGTTATTATAGCATAAAATGAATTCCCTCTTAAACCTTTAATTACACATTTTTCACAGACGCTGTAGGGTCCGTAGGGGTTACTCTATTATTTAGATATTCGGCGCAAAACACCCCTGGAGATAATAATAATAATCTGTGCATGACTGCACTCAATTAGTGCGCATTTTCGGGTCCTCTGTTATAATTAATCGCATTTGCATTGAGAAGCTAGTAAAATGGATCCTTGACTCCATGGTAGTAGGAGGAGCAGGGTCCCAGCCTTGGTCCATAACTCAATGGGGCTCTATGTAGGAGGGAGGGAGGTAGGTATTCCCCTCGAGGTCCTTGACGCATTGTTCAAGACAAGGACAACGTCGTTTCTCGGTTCATCAGAGTCGTCTGTCGTCTGCCAAGCTTCCCAGGATCTTCCTCAGAGGGGGTGAGAAAGGAGTGTGTGGGATTTCAAGGGGGCAGCTTAAAAATGGCAGGCCAAAACTATTTGTGCTGCCAAAGACATTAAATTTTGATGCCAGACATTTGGGCGGTAGAGAGAGAGAGAGAGAGAGAGAGAGAGAGAGGGGCTGATGGAATGGTGAGGCATATCCTGGGCGTGTTCTGGGCACGCATGGCGTATACATAATGCATGGCCGCTGTACAAATGTCGGGGCGTGATTGTCCTTCCATTGGTCCTTTCGGTCCATCTGTTCGGCGGTCAGTCACTCGTTCCCACATTGTGCACTTGAGTTGTGTGTGTGTGTGTCTCTAGATGAGTGTGTGTCTCTGTGACAGTGTGTGTGTGTTGGCAGGCAAGAGTGCTATAAATTATCGAGTAGTTGGGTTGCTGGACTCCACCTTCTCCTCATACTTATCCTTATCCCACTGCTGCTCCTACTCCCTCTACTCCCACTACTCCTCCTACTCCTCCTATTTCTCCTACTTCTCCTACTCCTCCTACTCCTTCTTCTCTTTGTTCTCTTCCTCTTCTAAAAAAATACAAAAAATAAAGGACATAGGCTTTAACCAGACATAAATAAAGGACTTTAAATACCTCTTATTCTGTAATTATTTATATTATTACCATAAAAAACCAGGTTTAAAATAGGGTTTAGTTCTTCATTTAGAACTTGTTGTGTTTAAAAATTAAAGAGCAACTTTTAAGTTTAAAAAAATGTCAGTTAACATTGGACTTAAGGCCATGAATAATATTATTTTAAGTAAATCAAATACCTTTCAGTATTCCATATCTATATTTATTACTTCCTGCTATTATACATATTTTTAAAAATATTTCTGCTATAAATACAAATTACAGGGTATATTTTGGATTGACTCAGGCCCTGTGTCAAGGGTTCAGTTAATAAAAAAGGAGGTATACGGAACATTCAAGCATTTGAATGACTAAATTAGAGCAAAATGAGAGTTTCAGAATATAAGATATATGGCATTCATAAATAAAAAATACATTTAAGTAAACAAACTCTATCTTTATCATACAAGTTAAATTTACACCTAATAATATATAATTTTGTATTTATTTTTTATTAGAAACTGACTTTATTTTCTTGCTGTGTGTATGCCAGGAACATGGCCACTGTAAAAGTGTATCTCCGTTTAGGTTTAATCCTCGACTGGTTGATCTATATGCCCGTTCCTCCCATATCCCCTCCCGGCTCTTTGGACATCATAAACTTGGCAAACGGGGTTATTTTATGCATGTCTCCCTGCTTCTTAAGCTGCCGGAATCACTCGTCCTCGTCCTCGTCCTCGTCCTGGTCCTGGTCCTCGTCATCGTCCTCAAAACCAACTCGCATTCGCATTCCATGCTCCATGCTCCGTGCTCCTTGCTCCCTGCCCCCAATCCTCGTTTAGGTCCTGGAGCACTCCTCCAACGGCTCCAACGGGAGCATCCGAGTGTGGCAGGGCAAACTTAATTAGTGCAAGTTAAACAAGCCAAGTTGTATAAATATTCCCGACAGCGCAAAACTTTCTCCAAGCAAAACAATGGAATGCGTATCCCACATTGCGTCCCCGCTCCCTCTGTGCGAGTGCAGGTAACAGTCCTGTTACCTGTTACCTGTTACCTGAATGTCCCTGTCTGTCTCCCACTTCCCATCTCCCCGCCTCTCTTTCTTTGTACGGAAAAAAATACAAAAAACAAAACAAAAAAATTACATCAAATATACATTTAATCAGGTGATGGGTTTAAATATTAATTTCAATTAGAAATCAAGTCGTGATACTTACAATTTAAGAATTAAGAACAAAGAAATAATTTGTAATGAATGCATTTAATATTTTAGGAAGACTAACAAAGTGTCGCATTGTTTCTTCCGGAGAAAGCTAGAAAGAATCGGCTGTTCGTGCTGATCAAGAATATATATGATATACAGGTTCGGAAATGATTCCTTCACTGTATTTGGAAGTTTTGACTATAATTATAATACCCTTTCAAGGGTATACATTTTTTTTTTAATGAATTTAACCCTTTAAATACTAGATTTTACACTATTAATCTCTCTTTTGTATAAAATTGAGACTAAGCCTTATAAAGGTCTTGGCTTTAAATATTTATAATTGATATTTAATGTTCAAATAATAACTTATTGTTTATGTTTTGTATATTTTATATTTATAAATTTATTTGTTTAACAAATAGAACCATTTGAAAATAATACAATGCTCTAAAAAGCATAAATAAATATAAACAACTTTGCTAGCATTTACCTAGAAAATTAGTAATGGTAAATAATTTCTTTAAATTCATTTTTTAACTAAAGAATTATATTCGTTGTATAGGGAACTAATATTTTTGTCAGTGCATAAATCTCTATATATTTTTTTTGTTGTATCCCCTTGAGGGTTTTCCTATTGACAAAGTGGAGCGGCGGAAGGGAAATTTTTTTGTGCAGCAAACTCCAACTCCGCGAAATCATAAAAATGTGTCACGCACTCCGGGAACCGTCTGCTCCTCACCTCCTCATCCCCTCCCACAGACTTTTCCGACATCCTACTATATATATACCCGTTTCCCCAGCCCCCCGATTTTGCGACATTAACTTTGTTAGTGCTAATCCCTGGACCCGCTGCAGTTGGTGGGCGTTTTGGCCAGGCCAAAAGAGATTTACGACCACAATTTGTTGCGCTGTCTGGCTTTTCCCTAAAATATTGCCAAGATATCGATCAATATCGAACGCAGATCTAGCGATATTATATCTTTGATCTATGGGAGGATTACAATAATATAGGTTTTGATCTTGAATATTTTTGAAACTCTTTAGTTAATATATTAAAGATTTATTTACTTTTAGATAATATATATCAAATATTTGAATGTTAAAAACTATAGGTTTATATATTTTAGTGTTCGCTATTGCTTATTTCAATATCTGCTTTTTAATAAACCCAATTATCGATTTTCCCTTTACATAACAAAAATCATAATGACTGCAGAAGGACCTGTGACTAGTTGGTGATTTTGTTGCTGCAATCATTGCAATTTTCACGGCAAGGACATAAAATAGTGCTTGTTCCTTGTCCCCTCTATCTAGATTCTTAACAGTCCCCACCCCTTCGATCCTTTTTCTTTATTTTCCACCTCCCTTCCCCCTCCCTATTTCGTTGGAAAAGCTTCATTTTTCATTCTCTCCTCCGTTTTGGTTGCAAACAACTTTTTGGCACTAAACTTTGCACCGAAAAATCGCGGGCGTGAAGCTTGTTGTTGGCACTTTATAAACAACAATAGCTACAACAATAACACGTACCGCCCCCGCATTTTCTCTCACTGTTTTTATTTTTATTTGCTGTTTTTTTTTTGTTTTTGTTTTAACCAAACACTTTCTAATTGGGTTCTCTGGTTCTTTCCCTTCGCCGTTTTCTCAGCATTAACTTTTATTGCAAGCCAAGACTTTTATGCGTGTATCAAGTGGAGAGAGTAGTTTTCTGGGTGGGAGTTTCCTTTTTCTTTACGTTGGGTTGTGTAATTACGCGCGACAAGTGCCACGCCCCCACGGCATCCCATTCCCCTTCTAGAAACACCAAGACCCCCGCCCATGGTAGCGTCACGTTTAGCTGCAGTCAAATAAACGTCAGCTGCAATCGTCGCCACTCACAAAACTACAGAGAGAGAAAAAGCGAGATGAAAACGGGGAGGCAAAAAGGAGAGATGGAGAAAGTGGTTTAGTGACGGAGAATTTCAGGAGAGAGGGGGTTGGGGAGTAGGGAAGGGGCCAGAGAGAAGCTGGTGAACTGGTGACATTTTATGAGACAGTTGACAGTGCTGGAAACTTGGCTCTAAAAACCGTAAAAAAAATCTATATTTTAGGTAACTAAAGTACACTTTTTTATTAGTATTTTTTAGCACAAAAAATCGTTGTAAAAGATTATATTTTGTATGATTTGGTAGCTTGGAAATTTACTAAGAAAGTTTCATGATCAATTTTTAGCAGTTTGAGGAAGTTTAAAATATTACGTATACGCCTTGTTGTCACATTCTAAATTCTGTTTTATTTACCTAACGTTTTTCGTTTTCTTTTTATATACAAAACCTTTAAATAATTTGTATATTTAATTTAATTTATTTTTAAAATATCTTACCTTAGTTTATAGTTTACGGAGAATTTTATAAATAATTTTTTGTATTACGTATACGCCCTTTGCAGGGTATTCTAATTATAGTCAGAAGCTTATAAGGCAGTCAAGGAGTCGTTTCCGACCCCATAAATCATATATATTATTGATCAGCATCAACAGCTGAGTCAATCTGGCCATCTGTGGCAAAAACAAATTTTTTTGTTAATTTTCAAATTTTTAAAAAAAAAGGAAAGGGGTTGCATCGTTAAAATTGTCAAAAATTTAATTTTTTTTTATATTAAAACTAAGCTTACAAGTTGGTTAACCCTATAAAAACTAGCACAGAAAAACTATCCGAATTGAAATAAATGCATTTTTGGCTTAGTTATGATATTTACAAATGC